AAACTCCTGAAGGAATTCAGATGTGAAGGAGCAGATCCTTATTTTGCAAGTACACCTCCCTGCTTACCCGTCTTGGGAGACCAGCAAGTGCTACCTAGTCTGCCCCAAGTGGTTTTTACAGGTTGCCTAAGAAAGATTTAAATCTAAGGCCTGGCTCAGCCACTGATCTGCTGTGAAGCCTTAAGTAATTTTTCTCATCTCTTTTGCCTTCACTTTTCAGGCAGCCCTTTGCCTGTTTTCTCCATTTTGCCCATAAGAGGATGGATTATTTTGCTATATTTCCGTATCTCCGTGGGGGCTTGCACAAAAGGGTCACGGGTCTTCGATCTAGACTTGTCATATGAACACCTGTGAATCTGAGACCTGAGAAACACTTAACTCCATCACTTCTCCAGTTGTTATTTTGAACAGGGTTTAACCTCTTGAGCAAGGAGTGTATATTCTACAGCTTTGTAAAGTGAAGAAACTACAAGAGCTTCATAAATAAAAATGTCAAGTCTGTAGCAAAGCGATGTAAAAGAACACTTTCTATTAATACATGTGCATTTTTCAGCCAGACAATTCCTGTCTGAATTTCTTATATCTCCTTTCTTATCTCAGAGTACTTATAAGTTTCTATTCCCATGCTTTATTTTCCTAATGACCCAATTTCATTAACTCTACATCAGAATCAGAAAAAAAATCTCAGCGAGCACCAGGTCTTTTCAAAACACAGTAGGGCTTAAAGCTCAGGAAGGGATTTGTGTATCCTATTAATTTTCTTCCTTGTAAACAAAGCCTCAGTGCCTTGTGTAATAACCACATTTCAAAACAGCGTGTGGCTCATTGAAGTCCTAACAGCTCGACTTGTACATTAAAGGTACCCAAATAATTAATCCAAGTAGTGTTCCTTCTATCAGCGAGACTGTGCCCACTAGAAGGCACTATCTGCTAGAAAGTTATAATCTTGAGGAAAAGTCAAGAGCTTCATTAAATAGTTCCATGTGAAGACACCTCCAAAAAACTGGCAGACTCAGGTGTCATTTTAGAGGATGGACAGTGTCTCTGGCCTTGGTTAAAGGTGTTTCACAGCAAAACCATCCGGAATCAAAATTATTTTCTTTTTGAAGGCACAGTGTCAAATGTATTTACAACAGGAAGGAATTAATTTCATGAGTTTTCAAGTTTGGAGGAAGAACCACCGTTGAGTGACTTCAGCCCCCTCCAGATTTGGAAGACAGGCGGGTTAGGTCTCTTCCTGATTTCCATTCTCATCTCAGGCAAAGCAATTCCCTGTGCCTCATTCATCTAAGGAAAGGAACCAATGGACCCAGCAATGGATTGTGAGAATTGCAAGATGACATCCAAGTGATTTCCCATGAGCTCCGTCCCAAAGCAGGCAGCACTGCAGGCGATGGTACTCACCCGGCAGTGGAGGGACCTGCGTTCTGCTCAGGGCAACGAGGGCTTCAAAACCAGCCCTTGCAGGCAGCGAGTGGTGTAGTTCTGTGTGTATCTGTGGCCTATAACCAGCTTCATTTGGTGCACGGACCAGATGGTGTTAGTTGAAGAGCTATCTGCATGCAGCCTTATTTACCGTACGCTGTCTTCAGCGCAGAGATCAGATGAAAAATCCTCTTAAGGATATCATAATTCTGGATCATTTACTAGAGGGCCTAAGTGTTTCAAACCATGGATTTATC